GATGTTAGAAGAGGGGGCTATCACAAAAAAGATTCTTCGATTGTTAGATTAAAAATTTGATAGTATCACAACCATTATCGAAGAGACGAAGGACTTACAAGTCATGACGATAGAGCAACTTTTGGGTTCATTGCAAGCCCATGAAGAAAAGAAGAAGATGAATGAAGAGATTGTCAAACAACTTCTCAAGACGAATCTCCAACCAACTCAGAAAGATGAAAGCTTCAACAACATTAGAAGCTACAATAGAGGACAAGGACAAGGTCATGCTAGTAAGCAAAGATGGAGTACCAAAAATAACTATGAGAAAGGAGAAAGATCTACAAGAGGACGTGGTCAAGGGCACTCAAACTCGAGGTATGATAAATCTCAAATTAAGTGTTATAATTATAACAAGTTTGGGCATTATGCGAAAGAATGTAGAACACCTAAGTACAAAGTTAATGAAAGAGTCAACTACATTGAAGAAAAAAGAGAAGAAGATGACACTCTACTTCTAGCATACAAGGACAATGAAAGAGGTGAAGATAGTACATGGTACCTGGACACCTGTGCAAGCAACCATATGTGTGGGAAACGAAGCATGGGTGCAAGCAACCATATGTGTGGGAGACGAAGCATGTTCGTAGAGCTTGATGAATCAGTAAGCGGCAATGTGTCTTTTGGAGATGAGTCCAAGATAGAGGTGAAAGGCAAAGGTAACATTCTCATCCGTCAGAAAAATGGGAAGCATCAATTTATTTCTAACGTATACTTTGTGCCGAATATGAAAAGCAACATCTTGAGTTTAGGGCAACTCTTGGAGAAAAGATATGATATTCACTTGATAGAAAATACTCTCTTCTTAAAAGACAATATTGGTAACTTGATTGCTAAGGTGTCAATGTCTAAAAATAGAATGTTCTCACTCAACATTCAAAACGATATTGTCAAATGTCTGAAGACCTGTTATAAAGATGCTTCTTGGCTCTGGCATCTTCGATTTGGGCATCTCAACTTTGGAGGACTCGATTTGCTTTCAAAGAAAGAGATGGTGAGAGGATTACCTTGCATCAACCACCCTGATCAATTATGTGAAGGATGTTTACTCAAAAATCACTTTAGAAAAAGCTTTCCAAGGGAGTCAAGTTCAAGAGCCCAAAAGCCTCTTGAGCTCATACATACAGATGTTTGTGGTCCAATAAAGCCAAACTCACTCGGTAAGAGCAACTATTTTCTTCTCTTCATAGATGATTTTTCACGAAAAATATGGGTGTATTTCTTAAAACAAAAATCAGAAGTTTTTGGAACATTCAAGAAGTTTAAGGCAGATGTAGAGAAAGAAAGTGGTCTCAAGATCAAAGCTATGCGATCTGATCGAGGAGGAGAATTCACTTCAAAAGAATTTCAAGAATTCTGTGAAGCCAACGGAATACGTCGACTTCTAACTGTTCCAAGATCCCCCCAACAAAATGGAGTAGCGGAACGGAAGAATAGAACCATCCTCAACATGACAAGGAGCATGTTAAAAAGCAAGAAATTGCCGAAGGAGTTTTGGGCAGAAGCGGTTGCATGTGCTGTTTATTTGGCTAACCGATCACCAACAAGAAGTGTGTTGGGAAAGACACCACAAGAAACATGGAGTGGAAGGAAGCCCAGCATCTCTCATCTACGAGTTTTTGGATGCATAACTCATGTACACATACCCGACGAGAAAAGAAGTAACGCAAGAAGCATGGAGTGAAAGGAAGCCCGACATCTCTCATCTACGAGTTTTTGGATGCATAACTCATGTACACATACCCGACGAGAAAAGAAGTAAGCTGGATGACAAGAGCGAGAAGTTCATTTTCATTAGTTACGACAACAACTCGAAAGGCTACAAGTTATACAATCCAAATATAGAAAAAACAACCATCAGCAGAGATGTCATATTCGATGAAGGAGGAGAATGGGACTGGGGACTACATGCTGAGGAATACAACTTTTTCCCATACTTTCAAGAAGAAGACGTAGAGCAGCCAAGGATCGAACAAGCAAAAGAAGAGCCTACTACTCCACAAACAACAAGTAATCAAAGTAACCCATCGTCATCAACTTCAAGAGAAAATCCAAGTGAAAGAGTACCACGCTTCAGAAGATTAGAAGATCTTTATGAGGTAACTATGAATCAAGATAATCTTACTCTTTTTTGTCTCTTTGCTGACTGTGAACCCATGGACTTCCAAGTAGCCATACAAAGCAAGAAGTGGAAAGATGGAATAGATGAAGAAATCAAGGCAATCGAGAAGAACGACACATGGGAGCTAGCTTCACTTCCTAAAGGGCATAAGGCAATTGATGTGAAGTGGGTGTACAAAGCGAAGAAGAATTCCAAAGGAAAAATTGAAATATACAAGGCAAGATTGGTGGCAAAAGGCTGCAGTCAAAGAACGCAGTCAAAGAACAGACATCGACTATGATGAGGTATTTGCCCCTGTTGCTCGATTAGAAACTATTAGACTAATCATCTCTTTGGCAGCTCAAAATAAGTGGAGAATACATCAAATGGATGTAAAATCTGCCTTCTTGAATGAAATACTTGAAGAAAAAGTCTACATTAAGCAGCCACCAGGATATGAAATCAAAGGGCAAGAAGACAAGGTTCTAAAGCTAAAAAAGGCTCTATACGGGCTAAAGCAAGCACCAAGAGCATGGAATAGCC